CTAATGTTAACATTCATTTCATGCACATTTTTCTCGTAACCTGTCCAGGCAGAAAAGGCATACAGCGGCAAGGAAACACCTTTGGTCCCAGGTTCAGACATAGACATAGGCTCCAAGACCAAAGAAATGATCACCAAAGTCAATCCATTTTAATTTAATGAATCCGTTTTAATTTAATACATCCACTTCTTGGGCGCTCTAATTCTTTAAGCACTGAAAAATCTGGAAAAGAATTGCGACTTGGTTTGGTGATAATAATATAGCTGTTTTCACATATATATTTTTGTTATTAAAAAATAAATATTTAGAAGTTTCACATCAGTAGTGCAGAAAAATTTAAATGATTTTAATTATACTGCTTGAAAGAAAAGAAATTCATAACAAAAAATAAATTCTTTTATGTTTATGTTTCAAGGCTCTTCCGGCTCTTTTAATTCTGTAATCTAGAAATCTACCTGAATGAAACGATGATTAATTTCTAGGATTACTCTTAACAGACAAAAACAAAGGCGGAAATAACCATTTGATCAGCTTTTAAAAGTTATAAGTAGCAACTATGATCAGACTAAAAAATAACTAGTCCGACGAGACTAGTTAAAAATAATAAGCTATGTATGCAAAAAGATAATTTTCTACTACAAAGAAACTGTTTAAGATTTACTTTTTTTTAGTATATTTTCTGCCTGTCTGACCATGACAGGAGTTGCTGTAATTTGACCCACTTATTTTCCCATTTTCAACCATTGTGCACTTGAAAGTGCGTTGTTGACGTTGTCAGAGGCGGTGTAGAAATAATTCTGCTCTTTGACGGGGCTTATGCGTGCGGCATTATTAAAAATGTATTAAAACGCTTTCCTCAACTGTCATCTAATGGTCCCCGAGCGCTTTCAAATGCGTTGTCGCAGTTGTTGTTGTTTTGCCGGTGTCCTGGCAGCCGTTATCTATGTCGATCTGAGGTATCCTTTGCTGTTTTTCCCACGTGCAGCCACATCTCTCAGCGGCTCAATTGTCTGCATGTTTGTGCCTTTAACTCTTGGTCTATGTGCGAGTATATACAAGTATTGGCAGCAGTTGGCTTATTTATTTTGTACCGTTTTCAGACGTCATTCTTCGCCGTCGTTTTCACTACATAGGTATAGGTTGTGGAAAATGTTAGCCCAGTTTCTTTGGTCCTCGTTTAGCTGTAGTTCTGCCAAACAGCGACCATTTATCAGACAACCTCTTTTATTCAAACCTAAATATGTACGTTGCATGTCTTTAGCGTTTTCTGCATTGTGTCTTAAACGTTTCCACGGAAAAATTTAATGATGGCTATTATGTATGCACTCTTACAGTTTGTTGGCACACTTTCCACCCTGGATTTTCCTAATTGGCCGGTGAGAATTTGCCAGTTGTTCCATTTTCTACTAATTTTAGAACTGAAGTATTTATGAATAGGGTGTGAGACACGTCATTAGCGGTAGTTGGCGCACTCAGACTACGCAAATATTTTGCTACTACAGACAGCTTCAGTCTTCATCTCAGCTCCACTTAACTATTTGTACGCCATATAGTGTGCCGAAATAGAGAGAAGAGTAATATATTAGAACACTCTGCTTCAATAGGAACTGCTTAAAATTCCTTTGTAATTGTTGTACACCGAATTTGTATCAGTTTCCACATTAATTGCTTACAAGTGGAATAAAAACTACGATTAAAGTAGTTTAGTTGAAATATTAGATTTGATGCCGATATGTTTCAGAAAAATAAAATAATATCACTGCACTAATTAACAGTACATATTTTGATTGTAATTTTACCCGTTTATTGACAGAACCCAAAAATCTATCCAAATAATCTAAGCAACCGTTTCGGGGGACTTGGCCATAAGCAGTATTTTAATGTTTAAAGGGTATTTTTATGTTTTATCCTATCTATAATCTACAGATTGTGCTTATAAATACTTATCTATATAACTGATTTATATGCAGTTGAATCAATTGATTAGAGACTGAATTTACAAGTTAATAATTTCCAAGCTATGAATGAAACTTAAATAAACTTAAACAAAGTTAACTTTATCATTTCATATTGCAGATGAGTTGTCCTTCAGATGCTGACTGAGTGAAATTATAGCATATTTTCAAATTATGCGAAATTACAAGCCATTTGTTTTGAAATCCCATAAATTCCTCAAATAACAAGTTGCAAATGCGCTCATCAAAGCACGACGACAGCTACCGCAAATTTGTTTTGATTGAAACGGCACCGTGCCATAAATCTTGTCGACTTGCCAAATGTGGCATTTAGACGTTTTGGCAGCAGCCCGCAAGTCAATGTCTGCAAATATGTTGCTAAACATTTGGCGACAGTGGAAGTTAAATTATGTCTTAATTTACTTCCCGGCCAGCGCTTAAATTGAGTTTGGCGCATCAACAGTATTTTTCGTTTTAATGAACATTAATTTAATCATTTATACAAATTAATGCTGAAATGTTGAATTTTTCAAACATGTTCTATGTTGCCACGAACAGTGCTCTGCTGCTTTTATTATTGTTGTATGAACCGTCGGGGTGCTGCCTCATTTGAATAGTTTCGTGTGGCAGTCGTCGTGACGTAACATGGCATTGCGTAATCGCAGTTCTTATCAAATTGTATGTGTATCGTACATCTCGTGCCCCTAATGAGGCCTAATGAGGTCTGCACGTTCCAAACATTATTTACCCAAGCGGATTTCTACAATTCCTTTGCCTATATACTAAGTATATACGTGCGCTAATATTAGCCGTTCCTGCTTACTTCTTAGCTAATTTATGTTGTCTCTGGGGGCCGTTCCTACGCCTTTTACTTGTTTATAACTAAAGTTGTGAGTATTGAAGCATATTTATTGGAGTATATGTATATATCTGTGAGTGTAGGCGTACCTTTATTCTTCATTCTCATTAAGATCATTCTGTATAGGATTTCCGTTAGATGATGGTGTCGCTTCAGATATAGAGAAATCTCAGTCATCTAATTTTCTTCTCAAAGATGCCTGCTTTTCGCCACATTTCGTGTAAAATCATTTAAAAATATTTAAAAGTTAAAAAAACAGGGATATTAAGATCTAGATATGTACATGCAGATATTAAGCCAAATATTTATCTGTTAATGGGAATTTGTCCTTGCGAGCAAATCAAATGGTTTCCAATTGTTGCCATAATTGGCATTTTGTCCTCCTCAACGACCGGCAAAATTGTTTTCAATTGTAAGCAGCTTATATGTGATTTCTCTGAATGAAATTCAATTTCTTAAATGCAAAATTGAAATTGTATTGAATTACTGATTTAGGGTTCTTAAGAGGAAATTTAAAATATATTTGCATATATATTTTCTGGGTCATTAAGAAGTGGCAGAAATATGTAATACTTTCAATTTACAAGTAATTTTAAATACTCATAGAGAAAATGGCAAGTTGCATTAAAAGAAAATCCCCCTCCAACATATGTACTTGTGTATTTAAAGCTGCTACACAGCTTTAAAAGCAATATTGATGCACATTTTATTGAAAGTTGCAACTTAAAATCGCACTCTGGTCAAATTTAAGTTACTGTTGTGAAATCGCACACTCATCCAAAGTAAAGCAAAAAGTAGTGAATTTAATTAACATCCTCAAATGGACGCCTCAAATTCCTAGCAGCTCTGCATCCTCTGAGACCAGGCTTATCATGCACAAGGCGAAGCAGAATGCGAAAAAAAATTGATGCAATTACAGGCGCACATGCGGGCCAAAACGAAATGGACAAGCATAACTCGACCTACAGCTCCACATGAGAAAGAAGTATATTCGACAAGGATACACCCTGCAGAGGAACATCTACATATATACATACATACATATATTGTAAAGCAAACCAAAAGGAATTGAAATTTATCTCCTACAAATAATATAACGTTAGTAAAATTACTAAAAATGTCAAGAGCAAGGGCAATTTTCTTTTATTTTTATATTCATAAAAATGTTAATCCACTAGGCAATAAATGCCTTTGCATTAACGCTATCATTTCTTTTGCTGCATTACAAAAATTATAAAAAATAGTTGGGCTTATGAATTTCTAGTTCCGCACATACTCCGTTACTGGAAGGGTAAAAAATGAAATCGGAAATGGGCGAAAAAAAGGAAACGAATATCTTTCGAAAGTTCGCAGAATTTACTGCAGTTGGTAAAGTCCTACAACAGATGCGGCAGGGAAGTCGAAGGAAAAGGAATCATGAATGGTTGGTCTGCTGTTGCTCTGGGCCAAAATCTAAAGGAGCAATTGCCTTCACTTTCGAGTATGAGAATGTTGGACTTAATTGGAGCAATCGCCAGTTGGCAACAGTTTTAAACTTTTTGCAACTTTGCAGCAATAATTAAAGCGAAATTCCCGCACGTACTTGTATGTATTGCGAAATGTTTTCAATTTATGTTGAAAATCATGCAACTGCTTGCACATAACTGTGTTATGTATACGCCTCGTTGTCTGCACAAGCATTTTGTCAGCAAATTAAAAAAGCAACAAAAAAGAAGAAAAACGTTATTTTAATGAGCAATTATGCCAGCTTCATAAAAACTGCACACTCGCTCACTTCATTGGGCTGCGGCAATTTGGGTTCATTAATTAACTCGCTTAATGGCATTGCTCATACGTCGCGTATGCCATCAATTACGAAAATGTGCACAAATATTTATCGATCGTTAATTTAGCAACTCAAAGGCATTTAAATCAAATGGTGCCATTCAAAAGGGATCCGGAAATGTACATATACTTGTACATACATATACATAAATATATATTAGTCCAACACTGACGTTGACTTATTCGTCCAACAACTTTTTGTGGGATTTGTTGGTTCTTTTTTGCACTCTAACGCCCAGCTTGATATTAATATTCAAGTACAGTTATCAACAATTATACAAAATGTACTTTTTCATTGTTTGGAGTATTTGAGATGTTAAATCATTAATTAAGAAAACAAAATTAAATAATAATAACAATTCTTAAATTCTGAATTACACATTTTAATTCAATTTATAGTTTTTATTTTTTGAGAGTTTTCTTACAACTATTTATTAATAATATTTACTATCTGCGTGGTAGCAGTAGAGATTATTGTTGGGCTCGCGACGCAGTCTTATAGTTTTTTCCAGGGGTTTGCTTTTAAATTATAGATTATTGTTAAATTTCTTGATATCGTTTCAATTTACCTCTTCACTCTACATAAGGCTATGCATTTTACAGAAACTGCTTCCTAGTGACTAATAATTATTCATAAATTAACAGCCTTTGTTCGCTTTCTTCTAATAAGTAGTCATAAGTAATCAAAAGTAAAAGAAACAAATTATTTTCAAAAAATTATAATAATTTCGAATATATTTGTTGCTGAACTGACGGGCTGAACAGAAGAGCTGATAAGCCTGGGGCAGATCTGATTGCTTGGTAGTCACTATCTGTGTTTAAAACCTATGTCTCAACTATATCCCTCTCATTTAATAATTTGCGAACAGTCAATTATATTTGTTAACCTGAAAGGCGATTCAATTCTCAGAGAAAATCGTTTTTCAATGCATAACATTTTTTATTCAATACATTTTAGCATCCACAGAATTGTTATTATTGAATTCATGCTGTAATCAACTTAATACCTATAGGAACAACATTTTTCTTGGAATTGAATGTGTATTTGTATTACATACGAATCCAATTATTGCCTTTTACCGAGCCTTTCACGCAGAATGAACTCGTCCAACCTAATTCATTGATTTGACATGCCACAGGTGTAAGTATTAGAGACAGGGAAATAAATTGCTTTTCTCAATTTCAAAACAACAACCATTATCGATTTCAATTCCCAGAAATACTGCACCAAAAAGTGTCCTAGGCAGACGTAGAATAAACGCCAAAAAAAAAACCGCACAATATTCCAACCGACATCTACTTGATATGTAAATGAAAATTTGCCTGGGGCATAACATTACGTCAAAATAGTGTCGTAAAACATGGAATAAAAATAAACTCGCGTTCCCTCATCCCCCTTCCAAAACACACATACAGACACAAAGCACCAGCTACACACTCCACACATACATATGTACATATGTCGAATAAACAACTTGCGAGTTGTGTATCTTTGAGATACATTTACATTTGCCATAACAACTAACGACATTTTTTTTTATGTGCCTTTGTCTCTAGGTCTGATATTTTTATTTTTTCTCCACCCTCAAGTGGATGGCGTCCTTGTAACCATGTCAATGGTTGGCTCCGCTCACTGTTTTCTTATTTAAAGCTTTCGCTTATCTGCTTTTAGGCACCTTCCACGCCCTGCTGCTCACATGGGAAAAGCTCAGCTGTTTTTGTAGAATAAGGCATAGTTCGGCTTCTCACGTACATTTTATTACCATTGTTGTGTATCACCAATATTTGGGGATTCGTGACTGCTTTAAGATGGCAAAGAAAATCATTCCTTACTTCCAATACCATGTGCGTGTGGAGAATTAAAGTTCTTTGAACCTTAGGCTGTAAATAGACAGAAACAAATATACTTGTATGGCGATTATTTTAGCTTGGCTAGAAATAACATTTTGATTGTTTACTGTTAGGCTGAAAAATGAAATAAATACGAGATTCAATTTATCCAAGACCCAAATAAATAATACAACACAATTGTTTCTTGTACTTGTGTGTAACACTAAGAAGATAGCGTGACAAATCAAGTCCGTCTAACCATCCGTTCATCTCAATTATCAAACTTGGCACGCAAGCACTGCCAAATCCAGGAAAGTATTAGCTTGGATTCCATTTGGCCTTTATAGACATTTTTTCGTGCTCCCGTAATGCCTAAAATAAATAAATAGGTTGATGGCTAATTATCAGACTTTTTTCAAGGTATCTTATATTATTTAGTGTAAAGCTATTTCGGATTACTCGTATAGCAATCTATACAAGTGTAATCTTAGTAAAGCATATCGATTTCTAGGAGTATGTATTCTGCGTGAATTATTAAAATATTTATATTTAAATATAACGGTTTATAGCTCTAAAAATCACTTTATTTTCTGCGTTGACTTGTGGTTGCGCGTGTAACAGATTCAAATCGATTCTGTAATAATTATATATGTGCGATGTGTGTTGGCCATTTAAACAATCCGGCACGGGTAAGTTGGGAGCTAAACTTCAAGCAATTATTAGTCAAAATACTTGAAGCCAGACTCATAAATTTCATGTCAAGTGTCAGCTATAATACGCCTTATGCTATATCCCTAATCTGCCCACACAACTGGCATCAACAATTTCCATCGATTTTCTCACACAGAAAGGTTTTTGTATAATTTATAATCACATTTACATATATGTACGAATACATACATATGTACACTTTAGGTATTTTTATATAATATCGAACATTCATTTATTGGAAGCATTTTATGGCTGGTGATGCTTAATGCGCCTTTCAATTGCTCAATCACTCAATGAGGCATTCAATCCCTTAACTCATCCATTCGTCGTTATCCTGTGGATTTTCCACACAAATACATACTCATGTATGTATGGGTTTGTGCATATCAAAAATCCAATTTAGAAAGTTTTCATTTTGTATGAGGAAAGCGAAGTGTGTTTGATTTTATTTAGTAACCAATATCTAAACTTTTTATTGGCTTTCAGTTGTAAATTCTGTAAATTGAGCGAAACAAACTGAGGGCTACAATGTATATACATATGTACATACGTTTATGCCTTTAAATTAATATTCCGTTTACATTTTACAACTAAATGAACTTATCCTAAATTTTGTTTAAAAAAATGAAAATGAAAAGAACCTTCTCACTACGCAGCCTCTCTGATCAGATATTGAGTATAAACAATTTAATTTTTGTAAGTAGTGGGCTTTTAACACATTTGTAGAAGCATATTTCAACTTAACACCAAACTCTGGCTTAAATTAGAAACTTATAGGTGAACGACTAATTATGAAGCCTCAAGAAATTGTTTACTTCAGCCTAATTCACCACATAGAGAGAAAATCTAGAAAGCTCTGTTATAAAAAGAAATCTTTCTTGACAATCTTTTAATGCAGGAAAATATGTTCGAAAGGTTTCGATAATAAATTCGACTTCGCATGTGAAAATGAATTGAAATAATTTAATTCGGCGGCTTGGCGATGATTTTGACTTATGAATTGCTGTTTGGCTGGCATTTTTTTTTTTTTTACCTATTTTATAAGCCAATACAACTTATAAAACTACTTTACAATATGAATTGAAAATTAATTCATTTTTTGAATAATATTTTTTAAAAAATCTCTTCTCTAGTAATTTAAAAATTATATACATTTTTGAAAATGCCATCAATATTTTTAGCTACAACATATTTTTTGAACCGCCGTGTAATCACAATGTTTAAACGAAATATTTCACAGTCTTCCAAGTCATTTTTGCCAGCGTATAGTACATACCCCTCTTCTCCTTCAACACAATGTGGTTTAGATGCGAATGTTTGTTCTCTCACACGGCATTGAATATGCCAATTATAATGTGTCTTCGCTAGGAAATATAAACGTAATGTGCTTCCAGATTATCATTTGCCACATCACCGAGCACGGCGCGTTTCGAGAAACTCATCAAATCCGAGCTCTGTCATACAGTTTGCACAATAGGTATGCACATATGTAGTATGTACTTGTAGTATTTACATATAGTACTTGTATGTGTTCCTATTTGGGGCGTCTTTGATGCTTTTTGTGGCAGTTTCAGAATTTGTGATCGCAGAAACGAGTAATGGAACACATCGGCAACTACCCGTTAGTGTCGGTCACAAAATGAAACTGCAACAGGATAAACCGAGAAACACACAAACACACACACACACACACACACACATGCACACTATTAAAGCACTCCACGAACAAGCATACACGTATGTATGTAGGTATGTCAATGTACATTAGTGCGTATGTAAATATGAATTTGCGTTGTAGAACGAGAATGCTTTGGATTTGCATCCAATAGATGCGTTTCCACTTCTATTTTGCGATCGTTGCAATTCACTGCACGTCGATTGAGCGCTGATAACGAAATGAATTCGACTGGCGATTACAGGCGTGATAAATACGCGCCAATCTACTTATGAAAAGCGATCGAGCTTGTGACGTCGACGTCTCGGTCCGCCACATACTTACAAACGACTCTCGACATTGCAGTGATTTACTTCTACACTTCTATGTACATAGTTGGGCTCTTAGTGTAATTCAATCGATGCCACTGACTACTGAACGACAAACACAAAGACAGACGGACACACAGAGAGACAGAGGGAGAGAGACAGAGTGACAGAGAGAGGAGAGGGGATAAAGGGAGAGAGAGAGGACATCCCTCTCCCACTTGCTGCGGTCTGGGTCTATTGACGGCGGCATTTAATCGCGATTTCCAATACGCAAACCCAATCTAGAAGAATTGCCTAGTCGTAACTGTATCTGTATCTGTATCTGTGTGCCACATTTGTATCTGTAGCTTGCATTTCGTCACATGCACAAAATGTGCTTCGTTTGTTTATCTGTTTCCACTTGGTCCCCATCGTACGTACAGAGGAGACTCTTGTATTAACTGTTTTTGCGGTTTTTAACTTTGAACACAACGCCGACGCCTCCCGCTAACGTTTCCTCTGCTGTGGCACTTGGGGTTCTCGCTCTGCTTAGCTTAACCCACAATTGTCACAGCTTCCAGTGATAGATACAATTACAGTTAGCTGCTGGCGCTGGCTCCTTGATGTTCCATTCGACATTGTTGGCGATTCGCGGAACTCGTTAATGCCCTTCTAGCACAAAAAAAAAAATCTTTTAAGTAATTGCCGGATTCAAAAGCCAGAATTTTGCCGACGTTCACAAAAGACATTCTTTTTAATGATGTGTGCAATTAGGCATTTCTATTATACTTGTATACTCGATTAAGTGAAATCGTCATCTTTTAGATTGAAATGTCACAACTTGAAGCATTCTCTTATATACACGTATGTACAACTGTATATATTTTTGGTATAAAGGTACAAGATTGTTAAAGACAATTAAATTATGATTTATCATAGAAAAAACCACGAAATATGTATTAATAGAAAAAAGGAAATTCTAAAAAGACACTTCTTTAGTTATTGGAATTATTGGATAAAACAAAATAAATTAGTGTTCGTACACCTGGGATTTGGACTTTAATTTAACAGTTAATTAAGTATAAAATTTATTTTACTTTTTAACAACCAGTGTGTCATTTCATTGCTGCTGGGCCTGAGCAGCTGTCAATTATCCTGAATCGGTTTCACAATTCTATTCCTCCCCCATTTGGTAGACGCGAGGCAAATGATCTAAATTCTAGTGTCTACTCCCCAGAGGAACCCTTAGAAAAGCAACAAAGGTGCGCTTTGTATAGCGCATGAAAACATCGACTCGCGAGCACAAGTTGTTTATTAATTTTTCATATGCTTTCCATTATTCTCGCTGCCTACACAACTCATCTACATCCATACATACACACATACATATGGGCATGTATGTATGAGCATAGGTATGTAATTTGTAATTCAAATCGTTTTTGTGTGTTTTGTGGCTTTTTTGGTCAGAAGCCAAACAAGAGATGCGCTTTGGTATCTCGCTGTAAGCAAAGTGGGGCACAGTTAGACACAAGCTGTCACTACATACATATATTTATACATACACATACTTGTATATAGTACACACATATAGCTATGCATGTAGAAAGGTTTGCACACTCGAGTACCTAAACACATCTATTCATACATAGCCATAGGAAAATGTGTATATGGACATGCATGTTCAAAGCCGCTTAGTTGGACGCTGCATTTTTTCGACTTCATCTCCATTAACCGCGTGCTCAGGAGGACGACCATTACACTATTTGACTTGAAGTTTGTTTTCTTTCACGACAACCCTCTATATTTTCTATTAGCCCAACACTTTTATCTTTGTTTATGCAGCCGCCACACATGGAAATCGGCCACAGTTATCGCACGTGCCCCACTCAGCCGACCATCCAACTCCCAACGACGAACACCCTCATCCGGCTTCCTAATTCCCATTAGCAAAGTCGTTCCACTGCCTTCTGCTCTCTTAAGCGGCTTACGAACGGTAATTTTAGCTGCTTTCGCTCTTTCTCTCTCGCTCTTCCGCCCTCTGAACCCAAACTCTTTGCCTGTGGAACTACGTCACGTTTGTGACTAAACAATGTCAGTCCTCAAAGCTCTAGATCTGATGTCCCGGAAGGACGAGGAGAATCTCAAACTTAGGTTGGCAAAGGGATTCATTTTTTTTAGTTATTGACTTTAAAGGGATTGTACACCATGTAAATAGATATAAAAGAATGTATTTTAAATAGTTGTCTAAAAATAATTAAATAATTTAAATAACGAGGCTTAACAAAAGTTTTTATCTGTTATGTATAACTGTAAAGATATATGTCCAATTTTAAATTGGGGTTTCAAGTTTTTTAAAGTAGTACAACAGACTTTCACATTTCCAAAACGCTGATGGAAGTACATTTATTGCTTTTTAAATTTTCTACTGGCTTTGGAACATTTCTAGGTCTATTAATATATCATCAGACAATATTTTAAGCGCTATTATAAGATGAGTTTTTATTAAAAATATCTAAAATGATTGATTACATATACTACTTATAAAATTTGTCTATACATATACGTATTTTGAATTAATTTTAAAAAAACATACAAGTAATGCTTGACTTTTTGTTTATTTAGTAATTTTTGTCTTTAGTAAAGATAACGTAAATTTCGCTTTTCTATAACATAACAAATTTTAAATTTAAAGCAATATTTTAGCTATTTTTAAAGGCAGTAGATCAAATCACTTTACAAAATTAGAGCATTCTAAAATCCAATCGAAATATTTTTCTCTGATAACTACAAAAGGCAACATTTAAGCACTCTTTTTTTTGCTTTTTTTTAACGCTTTGAAGTAATAAAATGAAAGTGCCAGAAGCTGTGCTCTGGCCCCAAACAAAAACAAAGAATCTAAAGTCCAAAGATGGACAGACAACGTCTTTCAAAAGTCAAATTTGAAGCAAAACTAGTACGCGTGGAAAAAAAGGGAATGTTCAAAGCAATAGAGGGAAAAGAAAAATCTGGCACGAAACTGTCTCTGACGAAAATGGGACAATGCTGCCTCTGTCTGTTTCCATTTGAAATCGCAATGAGTTTGCAGCACAAAGGCGCCTTTAAATAGACGGGAGGGCCCACAAATGGGCGGATGGCTGGTCTAACTACTTAGTATGTCTTCTGTATTCAAAATGAAAGCTGTAATTAGATACACGATGTACATACGAGTATGTATGTATGTACATATGTGCGTTATGTGTTGGTCCAAGGCTATGCTTCATAGAGATAAATTTAATCAAATGTAAAGCAACAGCAGCCCATTCATTCACCAACATCTCCTCCTATTCGCACAAGCACTCACACACTCGCGAACTCACACACAGACACGCAACCATATGCAAATGCCATTTTGCAAGTACCGTTGATAACCACAAAACCTAATTACAACGCAGATTGCATTACGCTTGGACTGAAGCGCAGACAATTCCACTTTAGTTACACATGTACGAGTATCTTGTATCTTTGTATCGCAATGTTGGCAATCCTCGTTCGATAGCGATTTGCATATGGAGCAACAAGTTTGGAGCACTCAGAACCTCAGTGGGAATTTAATTTTTATTTGGGCCTCGGCATCCAATCGACTGTCAATTTCAGCTGCACTTCAGATGTCAATCATCGCCTAAGCAGCCCTCTTCCCAGCCCAGCCCACTTCTCAGAGCAGCTTTGAAATTTCCACTTCATTTGCCGTCACAAATGCCTGGGCCGGAAATTCGAACAAAAGTCCGGACCAGAACCAACAGACGGATGTTCGGGCTGTCCAGTTTTTGAATAGAAGCATATTTCAAACCGTTTACCCAACCGTCCTTCCACAATTTATTTGATATTTTAGGAACAATATTGTCGAGCATTTCGAAATGTAAACATAATTTTTAAAAGGAAATACATATCTTTGAGGCTTACAAACATGTACATACAAATGGCCTTTGTGCGAATTATATCCGGTCGTGTGTAAAATATGAAATATTTGACGAATTTAGTGTCCAGTCAGCGAACGGGACAGACAGTATTGATTATTGACTTTTTCCAGAGCACAAAAAGGACCAGATTTAAATTAATTACAAATAATGCTTTTCTCTTGTCAGTCTGAAAAGTTTTGCCTTTCCGTCAGTCAGTGGACACAGAAATAAATTGCAGGTGTGGCTCATTGATATCACTATTTAATTATAGTTTACAGAAAGTTAAATTCAATTGCATTCCACTCTATGGCTACTAAATATATTCCAATTAGTAACGATTTTCTAGAACGTGGTTATAAAATAACTTGAGAGGCTTAAGCGGAAATGGGGCTTATTTCGCTGTTAAATCACACGCTTCATGAAATATGCAAAATCTTACTTTAACAACATGAGTGGGCAGCAAATGTTGAGCCAGAGCTGAAGGATGCTGCACCAACACAAGATAAGCCGCCCCTTAGATGGGAGCGGTGGAAGCGAGGCGTGCACGAAGACGCTCTGAAAACCTGCAGACCTCAATTCCACGTCACTTTTTAAACGAAAACACTGCAACGGCATAGGACATGCGGCAGGAGTCCAAGTGGGGCAGCCTACGTGCCTTGGGTGCAGCAAGCATGACTTGCAGAGGTCCCAGCTGCACAACTTTGGTTGCAAATACTTTAAGACTTTTCGTTTCAACTTAATGCGAACTTTTCTGAACTCTCTCTCACTCTCTATTCTTGCCTCCATCTATTTGCAGTGCACTCCTTGCCGCATCTTACGGTGCTGAGCCTGTCCGGTTGCAGCAAACTGACCGACGATGGTGTCGAGCTGATTGCCGAGAATCTGCAAAAACTGCGCGCCCTAGACCTGTCCTGGTGTCCACGCATAACGGACGCCTCGCTCGAGTATATCGCCTGTGATCTGAATCAACTGGAGGAATTGACATTGGATAGGTGAGTACAATAATCTAAATAGGAACTTCAATAGAGATCAAAACAAAACAGAATTGATTGTTTTGAAATTTATAAATATTATTAACGAAAATGTATAATACTTTTGAAATTGCGAATTCAATTTTGATTGTTTCACATTTTGAAATATTGTAACTGTTCATTAATATTCATCTTTGTATATAGTACTACACTATATGCTCTAGATCTGGCATTTCTTGTTATTCCTCGTTCACTTCATTCATTCGCTGTCTTCCTAAGTACTGAAAAATTGTCCGCTTCCAAGGTCCCTTCTGGGTGCAAAGTTTTCAACCGTCGCAATATTAATTACAAAACCACGCGACGCACTCGCTCCACACCCACCAGTCTGCAGTGCGCCCCGTAATTATTCATGAGTGAAATTCAATTTCCTCTGACGCTCACTACGAGTACGCCCGCAGCTCTCCGGGCTGGAGTAAACGCTGCATTGTCGCTCAGTTGAATTACTTTCCGCCTGTGTGTCCGGCGTTCACCTTTGCACGGCCGTCATTAGTCGTCATATTTTTGCAGCTTAATGGATTTCCCCCGTTTCTTTTTTTTTTTTTTTTTGTTCCGGGAGAGATTAATGTACATGCATACTATATAAACGCGCAGAGTGCTTTATAAATACAGCCAGGAATAGTAAATATTATATGTATAGCACATACATACGCAAAAGTGTGATTTCGTTGCACTTATTATGTTTTCTGAGTGCAGCTTATGTACGATAAAATGAAGTACATTTTAAGATAACATTATTATTATTGTACTCGCTGTACTAATTCTAATCGATTTCAAATCCTTTAGAATCCTTTAGTTAAATACTATAGAAAAAGCGAAGTGGCATTTGATTAAAAGAACGGAGAGCTTAAGCACTTCTTAAGTAAATTGAGTCAAGTTTTTTAAATTTATTAAGTCTCTATTTATGATTAATTAACAAAAACAAAAATATTTGAGTTTTCATATAACGTTAATTAAATGCGTAAACACTTAACCTAACAACTACTTTAATGAACATAATAATAATAGAAGAAACCTTTAACAAGTAGGGAAAAATTTAGAATAAGAAGGGGCTCTCAAAAGTATACTTGTAATTAGTCATGCGTTTTATTAATTTTATTTTTTCACCAGCTAAACAGTTTTTCTTTGGCGATCCCATTTTTTGTTAAATAATAATAAATAAAAATGACATTTTTTAGCTCTGGTTTGCCAAATAAGTAAAAAAAAAACATAAAAAACAAATTTCATAAGTACGCATATTATGTGCATGTCCGATGGAACTCCTTAAATCTAGATTTTTATCACTAAACATACTATTTATCAACTTCCGTCCACAAACGTCACCAGAAATCATCATTGGATTCCAGATCTCCAAAATCTGATAAAAGTCAACTCAAAAAGGGTGATTCTTATCCAATTTTACAATTATTTTTAAGAAGTTCTGTAAACATTTTTTAGTGTCGTTAAGACTTTATTTAAGACAAAAAACTTGTATATACAAAGCCAAAATAAATTGCTTTTTAATAAACATTACTAATTAGATAAATATTTCGTTATTTTTGCAGGTGTGTACACATAACGGATATCGGAGTTGGCTATATTTCCACGATGCTTTCGCTCACCGCCCTTTTCCTGCGCTGGTGCTCGCAGGTTCGCGACTTTGGACTTCAGCATCTGTGCTCCATGCGCAATCTGCAGGTATTATCACTCGCCGGCTGCCCACTGCTGACCTCGTCGGGCCTCTCCAGTCTCATACAGTTGCGGCATCTGCAGGAGCTCGAGCTTACCAATTGTCCTGGGGCATCGCACGAGCTCTTCGACTACCTGAAGGAACACTTGCCACGCTGCTTGATTATCGAATAATTGGTGGATGACGTTAATATTGAAGTTTTGTGAGCAATTTTACAGAGTTGGTGACTTGACTTTATTTTAGTATTTGAACAACTGATTTTATTTTAGATTCAGTTCTTTTGTAACTATTTTTATGCAGCCTCAGGGCTATTTTATCTTTACTTTTAGTCGGCAAATGCATCTTTGTTCCCACTGTGCTCTGTAATCCTTTATAGTTTCTAGTATCTTTTAATTTTTTGCTGTGATTTACAAGGATCTAAGTTAAGTTGAACTGTTTAGAAAGTACTATACATAGAAAGCCCCAAAAGATAATTATGTATGTCTAAAGTAAATAATTTATATTAGTTTTAAAGGCAAGCTTTACCTATTTTCACTGTAATTAAACATATGTATGTATGTGTGAAACTTGTGTGAACACGAAAAATATTTGTAAATTACAAACAGAAACAAATAAAACATCATTGCGCCCAAAAGACAAACACTAAAACAAACCTAAATGCAATATGCAAATCAAATCAAAATATTATGCAATTTATTGTTCAAAGCAACACTTTTCAAAAACACAAAATGCTAAACAAAAACCAAATATTTATATCCGTAACGTGCAAAAGTTGCTAACCAGCTTTAAAACTTACACACTTTTGCAGCCCCGACCACTAAAATTTTAATCGAATTGTACCATATGACTACCTATGCTTAAACACAAAGTACAGAAACGTAAATATTTTAATAAGAATAAACACATAGAAACTCCAAAACACCTAAAACCTATGCATGTATGTAGCAAAAGAGAATAAAGAGTTAGTAGGGGAACGTAAGAAAGGACTAGACAAATTTGCACGCTACGCCATGAAAAAGATTTCAATTCCTTATACAATATGTATTACGAAACTAAGCAACACAACAAATTACAAAGGTTTTAGTGCATTTTATTTATAAATAGCAATTTCCCAAAAAGTACGAGTCGGGCGAGTATGCTCGAATTTAAAGATTTTTTGGAGCCCTCCCTAGACCTTAAATGCAAAAATGAACAGAGTTATATATACACACATCTACATATATATATATAAATATTATATATATATGTATATTATATGAGATATCTACCTTACGTAGTAGCGCTACAAATGAGGAGGAGCACACAAAATTATCATACATGTTTGTTTTAAATTAAAATGTGAAAACTCTTTCAAAAGTTGGAGTAAAACACAAACACAAAACAAATGAAATTTGCAAATCTAAAATGAAGACACTCTAAAAATACATACCTAACAAAATAAATTAATGCAAAATTTGAAGGATGTGGTTTTTTAATTTACATTGGCGGGTGTTCTCATTAATGTTTTACCTTTTAAATATATAATTTTGCAGGTCTATTAATGATTTTGGATTATAAATAGACCCTATCTAAGGTTCTATTAAGGCAGTAAGCTAATCAAGAAGCCCTTTTCGAATGGCCTTAACAATTAGAAATTATTTAACAAATTCCTATCTTAAATACTAGTCCGTACTATCTGAAAACTTATATTTGGACTGCAGACTACGGTGATAATTTCATTCAACATAATTTCGTCGTATCATTCCTCGCACGCACCTTCACCATCTTCATCGTTCTCATATTCTGTATTGTCCTCCCCCAGTTCCTCATCGTGATCATCTTCCTTGTTTTGTTGATCCCACCATGAAAGAACACCGAGCCCAGCCTCGTTTATAGCACCCTGCGTGATTAAGAACGTAGTTGGCCAGGTTGATAAATAAATAAATACAACATTGAACTCACAATAATCTTGTACGGCGACTTCACTTCCTGTGCAGCAGCGGAAGCGGCTGCCGCCGCCGCAGACGTACTTGCGGCCTGCGACGACTGGCCCTCGGCCTTGGGTGGGCCAGTGGGTGATGTCTCTTCGAATATTTCACGTGATACACGAAATTTGATTGGCTCCCCAATATCCATAAAGAGATCGTGCTTGCTACCATCCTCCAGTGGATATTCCCAGACCCAGGCCTGTTCGGCTTCATCGAAACGCGAGGGGTGCTGCAGCGCCGCGTGTGGTATTAGGATGTCATCGAAAAAGCCTAGCGTTACGTGTACGCCCTCACGACTGCAGCTGCGTATCTTCCCAGTCATAACAGTGCCGACCATGGGCCTAAAAACCACGTACCGGAAGAGTACCTCCGTATGAGAGGCACCATCGCCTGGCAATATGATGGAGTCTTTGAGTGAGACAATTTCTTTCAGTGCTATACACAGACCCACATTGAGCAGCACCTGAAGTTGTGTTAATTATATAGTTGAAATTGTGAATTAGGGCAGGTCCTGTATCAAACCTTGTTGGCAAGTCTTCGGTCGAGTTCGTCGCGAACGGCGTCGACCAGCTTTAAGTGAAATTGGTCCGGTGCTATGCGTACGTTGTCCTTTAATTCAGCAAGCACAAACATCCTTAGGACCTTATATTTCTAATTGACAGTAACAAGTAGTTTTTTATGAATGATTCGGGCACAAATAGCAAGTACAATCACATTTTGCAATAACAGCTGTTTGTAAACAAAAACCAATTTTGGCGTTGCCACGTGGCGGTCAAAAATACCAAAGCAATGTAACCGCTCTGTGGTGAATGGCCAAACAGCTGGCTAATAAAAGAAAACACGTGCTTCAGCAATCTTTAGTTTTACCAAACCATTTCATCAAACGACGCATTCACTTCTTTACATTGTAATTGTAATTGCTTCACAAAATGAGTGAAGTTCACCAATTCAGCGACGCTGAGGAGGACGTTGAAGAACTGTTAAAAGTAGATATTTGCATTAGTTTTCTTTTTAATTGTTATTCATATAAAAATCTTTCAATATTTACAGTCGGAGTGGGTTGAAGATTTAAAAAAGCTGACAATTAATAATCAAATATTTAAGGACATCAAATTAAGTGAAATAGATGCTAAGGACGATTTACACCAAGCTAAACTTATAGAAGATCCAGAAGCTGCAGAGTCTGAAGAAGACGAAAACGATGAATATGATTATGATGATTTAAGCGGCGGCGATGACGATTGCTATGATGCATATGAGGCGGCCTATAGCGGTTTCAACAAACACAATGTGCACCCGCAATTGACAGCCGCTAACACCACGAGCAGTTTGACTACAGCACGTGGAAGTGGAACTCAACGTGTCAGTAACTATCAACCTAACGAGAAACTGCTGCGCCGCTATTCGGCACGGATTAATGTTGAGAAATATGATCCTACGACGAACATGAGCGCACAAGCGGCTAATCGGCTGGCGAACTTCGATCGTCGTCAAAAAACGGAACGAGAGCGCGTACGTGACAAACATGATCGTGCGACGGCGGAGCAGGTGATGGATCCACGAACGCGAATGATACTGTTCAAGTTGCTGAATCGCGGCTTCATACAGGAGATAAACGGCTGCATATCAACTGGAAAAGAAGCGAATGTGTACCATGCTATATCCAAGGATGGCGACGAGGAGTTTGCCATAAAGATATACAAGACCTCCATATTAGTGTTTAAAGATCGCGACAAATATGTGTCGGGTGAGTTCCGCTTTCGACACGGCTACTGCAAGCACAACCCAAGAAAAATGGTGCGCACCTGGGCCGAAAAGGAGATGCGCAACTACCTGCGAATGCGTAACGCCGGAGTACCAGTTCCTGAGCCTATCCTATTGCGTTCCCATGTACTCGTCATGCGTTTCTGTGGGCGCGACGGCTGGCCGGCGCCCAAGCTCAAGGATGTCGAGCTAACCACATCGAAGGCGCGTGAGCTATACCGTGACTGCGTGGTCATCATGTGGCGCATCTACAATCAGTGCCGCCTGGTGCATGCCGATCTCTCCGAGTTCAATATACTGCTGCAGGATGGGCAGCTTATGATAATAGATGTTAGTCAGTCAGTGGAGCACGACCATCCTCATGCTTTCGACTTTCTGCGGAAGGACTGCTGCAACATATCAGAATTCTTTCGCAAAAAGTCAGTGGCCACCATGACTATCAAAGAGCTCTTCGATTTTATAACGGACAAAACGATAACGGAGAAAAACATGGAACAGTGCCTTGAGCGCATCTCGGAACAGATAAAGGATCGTGATTTTGATGCCATAACGGCACAAGAGAAGATCGACGAGGCTGTGTGGCAAAACACCTACATTCCCAAGCGCTTGGACGAGGTACGTCGAATCTTCCCAACAAAAGATTCTCAGCCATTAGCATAATTAAATATATATTTTTCACAGGTGCGCCATTTCGAGCGCGACGTTGCCAAAGCTAAGCAGGGCGTACAACAAAATCTCATTTATGGCAAAATAGCAGGGCTAACGCCGACGCTTGATGTACAAAAACAGCCTGAAATTTTGGATGCAGATTCCAGTGACGGTGAATCCAGCCACGAGGAGGAAGAAGAGGCATCTGAATCTGAAGATGGGGACTCATCCAAGTTCACGAGCTCGGCACGCCCAAGAGGTGAGTCGCCTGATAGCAGGAAAGCCCGCAAAAAAGCAGTGAAGGCAGCCAAGGCAGAGCAGCGTAAAGTCAAAGTGAAAAAGCATGTGAAAAAGCGAAAGGAAAAAGTGGGCAGCATGAAAAAGTAGCTAATTTCTAATATTTCCTAGCTATTGTAAGTATTGTATAAAACAATAAAAATGTGTATATATTAATGCAATGCTATTGAAAAACGTTATAAATGTTTGTGATGCAACAATCAAAAATGTTGATACTTTTAAAGTATAAATCTACATAGGCAGTTGGGTAAAATTGTGGATTTAAACAATATCAACAATAATACCGTTGACGATTCAAAAATTATTTGGAGAAAACTTTAAAAACAATAGTTGGCTGTTCGTGCGATAATTGGAATAACGCATTAAAAAACTTTACTTCACTAAAAATACAAGAAAATATGTAGGTTTTTGCTTACATTCTTCTCACATTTTATAAAGTAAAGCTTAAACTACCATTGGAATTGTAAATCTTTCACATGAGGTGTGATTCCTGTTAATATACATATGTGGATGCATTTTGACGATCTGATTTTTTAATTAAGTAATTGGGTAAGTTAAATCTAAACTCAACTTTCTACATTCAAATGCCTTGTTCAATGTTTATTTCTTTTTAATATCACGTTTGTTTATCATCACCGATCGGCTTACGGTAGTATCGCATGACAACCCTTTTACGTTTATCAAATGCTTTAACCGCCATTCTTTTGTGTATTACATACATTTGCACAAAACTAGTATAGCCTTTTACCCTTTGGGTACAGGCTATAAAAATATCTTCTCCGGTACACCAGACGAAGAAATGTACCTGCCCAACAAAACATGAAAAATGTTCGATGTTTGGGCAAACATCGATGGGTCGCAAGCAAAAAAACATCGTAAAACATCGATGCATCGTGTTGAAAACATCGTCGATGCTCGATACAGCGATGTTTTTGTACATCCCTACTTCAGCTATCTTTAGTTTTAATTTAATCAAATGACGCATTCATTTCTTAACATTGCGTAATTGCTTCACAAAATGAGTGAAGTTCACCAATTCAGCGACGCTGAGGACGACGCTGAAGAACTGTTCAAAATACACCTAGCCCTAGCTTAACACTAAATCTTTTCATACGAATTTGGGCTATCACGATTACAAAATTGCTACCTTTACTTTTGTTACGACTACGCTTTTCCTCTTGGGCAACGCCGGCTGGCTCAGCGGAATTCTCCTTGGGTGTGTGGTTCCAACCCTATGCCCGCGTGAGTCGTACAATAACCGATAACACGGTTCCTCCATCGATAAACAAAATGCCGTCACTACAATAAATTCGACGCGCAATATACAAAACCGAATTCAAAACGTAAACAAACCAAAAAAAACTAACATAAACTAAAAGAAACGTAATGCGACAAAAAAACAAATAAACGGATAACTCCCTCAAGCTATCCGTACGAATACGGATACGAATAAAAGGAGATTATATACGTGCGGACGGACAGAAATTGTGGCATCGGACAACTGTGTGGGATTTTGCTGTTGTTATCCCAGGCGTACCCACCCTGCCTGTATCCAACGGAAAAATGTTTCTTGGATACCCTAAATTTGGGCCGTGCTTGGGCTATTCCATGGCAAAGGTGAGTCTCCCGCCCCTACTGATGCTGCTTTAATGCATCATCACCAACGGTGCGACGATTAAGATTAACAATTAATTTTCAGTTTATGTGGCTACAAACATACATATATTTCAGTGTGATTGAGTGTGAGTGCAAACAATGTAAACATGGAACAAGAATTTGTATATAAAAACAAAATAAAGAAGGCTTGCCAACGGCCAATGCGGTTCTTTATGTGCGCCAACATGCAAGTATGTTTATGGCAAATAAATATGTATATAGATATATGTGTATGTGTATAAAAAAAATATGCGCGGTACAAAAAATTATAGAAAAATGTCCAACCAAATCCTAACGAGAGCTCTCGACGGTCATGGGCGCAATAGAAATATAAGACTAATATAAAACACTGCGCGCTACTGCAATTGGCAATCTTCGTACAATATAAGTGTATAAGAGTGTGAATTTTTTATTAATTTTTGAATTAAATAGAGCGCCAAGCTCTGTTTAGGTGCCACTTTCTGCCTTGTTTTGGTTTTTATTATATCTGTATATATTCTTTCTTTTGTATTATCTTCCTTTCTTTTCTTTTGCAGAAACTTCAATGGGCGGCGTGTGGGACCCTGCAGGCGCAGCCCATACAAACGACACGACGTAAGGCGCGCGGGATCTCTGCCTGATGTCGCTGCTCAACCGCGAACAATAGGCACGGCGCGTGGCCAAGGAACGGACTCACCGGCTTTTCTATCCTCCGCTGCTGATGGCGCAGACGGACGTGTCTGCTGTTGCGTTGTGGTGGCGCCGCTATTGCTGCTGCTACTTCTTGGGTGGGCGCCTTTGCTCCGGCTGCCACTGTCGTTGCTGCTGCTGCCGTTGAAAACGCTGGTGCTGGATCTGCTGCTGTCGTTGAAGACGCTGGTGCTGGATCTGCTGCTGTCGCTGTTGCTCCTGCTACGATGCGGCTCGTGCTGCTACTTATGACGGCCGCTGCAGCTGCTGTGTATGGTTCCACCGCTGTCCGAAAACTTGGCGATATGCCGGAAAATCTATATGCCAAGGAACAAAAGGCATTTAAGCACTGGTCGGCACATTTAAGTGGATATACAGGTATGTATACATCGGCATTAGTTCTGCCTTGCATCTATATCCTTATGCTCACCTTCGAACGGCTTCTGGTTCTTCCTTTCCTTTTTCAGGTTTCAGCACGGCCTCCAGTTCACCAAAAGAAAACACTGCCTCGTGGGTCTGCACCGTCGCCCCAAAAACAGGAATGGCGTGTTGCGGCTTGCCTTTTATAGGCCGGATGTCGTATGCCTGCGGATTTTTACGTCCTTGCGCATCCGTTCATCACGGCCTTGACGTTTCCCCACTTTGAGGTGCCATCGGGACACAACCCTGCGCCTGCGTGGCTGCAGTTGCCACCATGGTGCCTCGCTCGGTACCGCTAGATGGCGTTGCAGTACCTTTGTAAATTCTTGGCGCCTTCCGTAGCGCTGCCACCTTTTATTCTTCGTGACCAGCCCGATGCAACACTTTTAGAAAAAGGGAAGTCCCCCTTTCTACACCATCAGAGTGAGTGCATACTCGTATGTACATACATATGTATATAAATAGTTGCTAGTTGGTGAGCAAAGCTTTACTTCTTCAGACGCGCGCATTGTAAGTTTAAAACTTTTGTGATAAGTGAAAAGGTTTAACCGTTGAATGAAATAAAGTGGAAAAAGTGAATTATATAAATTGCAGTTTCTACAATGGCAGCAAAAGCAAATAAACCAAATAAGCAGTGCTACTATGAAGCTTTAAGAGCCACTTAACAAAAAATTCTCATTTTTTTGCCACGCAAGGGGCTCCACCCCATGAAAAAGATTTGATTGCGATAACTGCTCTGATTATAAATTCAACCAAATGAATTTCCATTTTATTTTAATACATACATACATATGTACACATGTACTCTCTGTTTACTTTTGAAAACTTTTGCCATTTGAATACATTTTTTGTTTAACACGATTTCGCTTAGTACGACGTTTTCAAGAAACGTAACCCATGTGTTAAGCGAGGGCTAGGTGTACACCCAATTCTGTTTTTACACGGTTTTGATTTAACACAGTTTGCAAATTAAAAATTTTATAAGTATATGGTTACACGACATTCCATTTACCACGATTTAAAAAAACATATGGTCAATGTAATTTTTTACTCGGTTATATTCTTACACGATTTTTTCTGGAACCAATCTACCGTGTAAAAAGAGAATTGGATGTATTAGATATTGAATAACAATTATCATATGAAAATCCATCATTTACAGTCGGAGTGGGTTGAAGATTTAAAAAAGCTGACAATAATAAAATATTTAAGGACATCAAATTAAGTGAAATGGATGCTAAGGATGATTTACACCAAGCTGAACTTATAGAAGATCCAGAAGCTGCAGAGTCTGAAAAATACGAAAACGATGAATATGAGTATGATGATTTAAGTGGCGGCGATGACTATGGCTATGAGGCAGCCTGTAGCGGTTTCAACAAACTCAATGTGGACCCGCAACTGACAACCGCTAACACCACGAGCAGTTTGACTACAGCACGTGGAAGTGGAACTCAACGTGTCAGTAACTATCAACTATCAATGAGCACACGAGTGGCTAATCGGCTGGCGAACATCGGTCGTCGTCAAAAAAAGGAACGAGAGCGCGTACGTGACAAACATGATCGAGCGACGGCGGAGCAGGTGATAGATCGACCAACGCGACTGATACTGACCAAGTTGCTGAATCGCGGCTTCATACAGGAGATTAACGGCTGCATATCAACTGGAAAAGAAGCGAATGTATTCCATGCTGTAACCAAGGATGGCGAGGAGTTTGCCTTAAAGATATACAAGACCTCCATATTAGAGTTTAAAGATCGCGATAAATATATGTCGGGTGAGTTTCGCTATCGACGCGGCTACTGCAAGCGCAATCCACAAAAACTGGTGTGCACCTGGGCCGACAAGGAGATGCGCAACTACCTGCGAATGCGTAACGCCGGAGTACCAGTGCCTGAGCCTATCCTATTGCGTTCCCATGTACTCGTCATGCGTTTCTGTGGGCGCGACGGCTCGCCGGCGCCCAAGCTCAAGGATGTCGAGCTAACCACATCGAAGGCCCGTGAGCTATACCGTGACTGCGTGGTCATCATGTGGCGCATCTACAATCAGTGCCGCCTGGTGCATGCCGATCTCTCCGAGTTCAATATACTGCTACAGGCTGGGCAGCTAATGATAATAGATGTTAGTCAGTCAGTGGAGCACAACCATCCTCATGCTTTCGACTTTCTGCGGAAGGACTGCTGCAACATATTGAAATTCTTTCGCAAAAAGTCAGTGGCCACCATGACCATCAAAGAGCTCTTCGATTTTATAACGGACAAAAAGATAACCGAGGAAAACATGGAACAGTGTCTTGAGCGCATCTCGGAACAGATAAAGGATCGTGATTTTGATGCCATAACGGCACAAGAGAAGATCGACGAGGCTGTGTGGCAAAACACCTACATTCCCAAGCGCTTGGACGAGGTACGTTGAATCTTCCCAACAAAAATTGCTCAACCATTAGCATAATTAAATATACATTTTTTATGTACAAAAACAGCCTGAAATTTCGGATGCAGATCCCAGTGACGGTGAATCCAACCACGAGGAGGAAGAAGAGGCTACTGAATCTGAAGATGGAGACTCGTCCAAGTTCGCACACTTGGCACGCCCACGCGGTGAGTCGCCTGATAGCAGGAAAGCCCGCAAAAAAGCAGTGAAGGCGGCCAAGGCAGAGCAGCGTAAAGTCAAAGGGAAAAAGCGAAAGGAAAAAGTGGGCAGCATGAAAATTTAGTTATTTTCTAATTTTTCCAGCTATTGTAAGTTAACCATGAAACACTAAAAACCTGTATATATTAATGCAATGCTATTGAAAAAAGTTATAAATGTTTTGATGCAACAACCAAATTCGACGATTCAAAAATTATGTTTTTTGAGAAAACTTTAAAAACAATAGTTCGCTGTTCGTGCGATAATTGCGGAATAACACATTAAAAAAACGTTACTTCACTAAAAATACAAGAATGTATGTAGGTTTTTGCTTACATTCTTCTCACATTTTATAAAGTAAAGTAAGCTTTTCCGTTCTTAAAGCCAGTAAGCTGGGAAAATGCCATTAGAATTGTACATCTTTCAGATAAAATACACATAAGGATATCTGATTCCTGTCAACATACATTTTTAAAACCACATACATACATATGTAAGTGGATGCATTTCGACGAGCTGATTGTTTAATTAAGATTAATAGGGTAAGTTAAACGTAAACTCCACTTTCTGCTTGAAGTAGTCAAAGGCCTTGTTCAATGTTTATTTCCTTTTAATTTGATGTTTGTTTATCAGCACCGATCGGCTTTCGGTAGTATCGCATGACAGCCCTTTTCCGTTTGTCAAATGCTTTAACGGCCATTTACAGAAAGTAACGTCGACAGCACAGTTTATAGCTTATTTATTATCCGCGGAGCAAGCAGTTCGGGCAAAAATGTCGTTGCGTTTTGAAGAAGCGATCGACGCAGTCGTCAAGAAAATCCGATTAAGTATGTCCAGTAAGCGACGCAAGGGCTTTCTTTCCGACACCTCGTGTTTGGCCAATTGGCTGGACGAAGCACTGAGGGGTCGCGGCTCCATGTTCGCTGGCTGTTTGGGAAATTTGGCGGAGACGGGTAATTGGGGTTGGGATCTATTGTAGAGATATTAAGGTACACTTACAGTTTGCATGTCTTGTAGCGAGCTATATACGCGGCACTCTGATGGATATGCCCAACGATTTCAGCTGCTACTTGCACATGGAGCTGCCTTTCCAATTCCGCGCCTTCCTCCACCGGGATGGGAATATATATTTGGTTTCCGATTGCAAGAATAAGGTGACGGTAAGTCGACTCGTTTCCACAAGTATGTTGCAGAAATGCTTGCGTGAGGATCTGCACTCCTTGATGTCTATGATTCCGGTGGTCAAATGCAAGTCAGGAAGAATCTACAAACTCTGTTACCACAGCGCGAATATACCGATCAGTGCTCACTCCATTGTGGCCACACAACTGAACCCCAAGACCGAGGATCCACTCGAGACTTGCATCGCTTTCGAGTTCCTATTAACCATCAAGATGCCACTAACCTCCCATCAATTGCCACCCTGCTTGGAAAAGGCGCAACCAAACATGAACTATTGGCTGGCCCTCCCCATCAGCCACTACGATGTCGACTTCAACTCGAGCAGCTACCTGGCCTGCAGTCACAACTGGCAGTTCATCAATGGCCAACGGCGGCAGCAAGCACGGACTCTGGTTCGTTTGCTCTACGCTCTCAGCGTGCGGAATGACACACTCCAGACCATCGGCAGCCACATTCTGAAGCACACGTGCATCAACCGCTTCGAGTTCTGTGGCTTGGATTATGCCGATCGACCGTTCGCCAGTCGTGTGATAGACGTAAGCTACCCTATTTTCTATCGCCTGTGAAGCTAAATCCGTATCTTCTAGATGATGCTTATGCATGGCACCAGCAAGTTGGAGGCCCTCAATATGACTTTCAATCAGGGTCGCCTGGTCAGATTAGAAACAAATCCTGCATTGCAGAGCGATTGCGTTAAGGCGGATGTGGTGCGCAGATTAATGAAGGATCACAAAGACATTGTCTCTCCGATGAAACTATACGAAATGTTCTGGCTATTTGGATTCGACGACATCAAGCCACCCCCACAGTTTGGAAACCAAAGAAGGCGACAAAAGAACAACAAAAAAGCGGCGTAAACCGAACTAAAAAGAAATCTGTTTACATTTCACAGTTTGTTTTCCGCGCAATATGTAAATATTTGGGCATTCGTTAGTTTATGTTGACTTCTAACTTGAATACGAAAAATAATAAAATATGATCAACAATCAACAATTGGAGAATGTGCAAAAACTTTGAAGATAAGCGTTTTTGTAAAAAAAATATGATTTTTTTTTTGTTACTCTATTATAGCCCACATGGGCTTCATAACTCGCTTTACTGGTGAAGTGTAGATAGTAGAATTAGTTTCAAAAAGAACCATCCTTTAAAAAACGACCTTCCCGACTAGCCAAGCAAACCAGATTACTCTCTACGTATTTTTTTTTTTTTTTTTTTAGTTCCAGCGATCTTTACAACCTGCTTTCAACCTTACTGTCTCCATCCTGATTAACAGCTTGTCATTTCGGCCAACTTCGGGTAAATATATGCTACAAATGCTTGGCTGGGCTAACTAATAAATCTTTCTCCACCGGTTTGGGAAGTGTTAAACATTTAATTTCTGTTTATATAATTTTTTTTGTATCTGTGTGAAAAATTCCCTTCTATTAAATAAAACCACAGTTATTCCTTCTTTTGGGTCCACTTGTTTATGCGTCTTTTGAGATATGTAAATGTTAAAATATTTGTATAATTATGTACCTATGTATATACATAAATGTTGGACACTATTACCAAAAGCCATACTTAAAAATATTGTATGTAAAATATATAAAATATACCGATATCTCTGTGTATACATACATATCTATGTGTATATACATATAACATTTTTAAACCTAAGGGCGTCACAGCGGAATCCGCTAAGGAATATGCCATTTAAGTCCTTAAAGTGTAAAGCAAAAAATACTCGTACCGTTATAAACTGTGCGTACATTCTCGAAAGTATAACTAGTAGTTATCGTAATATATCAAACAATCACAGCATTGGCTTTAGTTAAGACTACTAAAGATACATAAGATTTATTCGATTCCAGTAGCGGCTTGGCACAGGACTTGGCCAGGTTATGTGTAGCACCGTTTTCGCAGACTGATGTACATCAGGATGCGAAAGAAGAACATGAGCATGGCCAGCAGCCCGAACTGGTGCAGTATGGATACCTTCTCCACGTCGAGAAACTTAAGCAGCACGCGAGGATCGCTAAAGTGGCAGTAGATCTCATCACAGTCCAACTCTTCGCGTTGAAATCCGAAAACAGCCAACACCATTGCGACGACACCAACACGCACGTAACTGAACTTCATCAGCAGGTTCATGCCAGTCGAGATTTGGGGCGCAAAATCGAACCCATAGACGGCCAACCCCATCAGAGGTGCTATAATCATGGGACCCACCACACTACCGTTCTAAGGAGAAACGCAAGCCAATTAGATTTATAGAAACTAGTCAGCGGACAGCTATAGTTACTCACTGTTATGCTAAATGTAGCACCAATCGCCAGACCCATGCCCTCAGCCACTAGCGAGATCATCAGACCTACGGCAACAAAAATGCAAAAGCGCCACCACTGATCAGGCAGCCCGGACATCCAATACGTAACCGCCATGAATGTAATGTTCAGAATTATCTGAAGCGGCAAGCGGGAGAACGTTAACGCCAAATAGTACGGTGTTAGGGTGTACCAGCGGTTGAAGGTCTCCTTCTTAACCACCTTGACGTCGGCCGGATCTGGGAATTGATTAGATTTGGTTTGATTTTCAAAACTCTCGCTATATCATAAACTTAACTGGCTAGCGAATTATAAAAATAATAAATCAATGGTATTTCTGCATCTAATTAAAATATTTCAAATCTAAACCAGTTAACGAAGAAATTGACAAATTAAATATTATTCGTAAGAAAGCAAAAAAGTTTAAAACTCGAATGTGTACACTCGAATATACTTTTCTTGTTAAACGGATAAGGTCACGATAAAATTATAAATTGTATGTCTTTATTACAAATAGTGTGTGATACTTTAAAAGGTTTTGTGTGGCACACTGAAGATCTGGAGCATTAATGAATGGCTGTTAAATATAATGTATTTCTAAAGGAAAGATGATTTATTATAAACAACTCCTGCTTCCTGATCACTCGTTTCTAATGAATCTAATGACAATTCTATTGAAGGTAGAAGAAAATGTTAGTTAGATTTTTAGCATTTTAAGACATGCTCTCAACTTATTAATAATTTTCTCATTTCAATCAGAACTTGAAAAATTGTAATACTGAATGAGCTCAAGCTTTGTGATACAAGCCTAAAAACTACATTAGGTCGATAAAAATTAGTCTGATGCTGATAACGTATGTTCTACCTTTTTCATTCCTGTCCTAACATTTCTTATCCACAAGCCAGCAATAATGTCCAGTCTAGTATTAACGGGGGGTAATCAAAAGGATAAGGGACTGCCTAAAAATGTTATACTTACAACTTAGGATGGGCACCATCACCTGCGTGTAGACAATCATCAAGACGGCACCAATGCAGAATTTCAGATGATCGAACATCCGAGCACCCTGATTACCCAATTGGAAGAAGATGAGGCCGAAGAAGAGGCCGCACAGCGTGTGATGAAACAATTGAATAGTAAGTGCGAGGCGTGCCCGTAAAATGCGCAGCATCATAACACGCATTAGAACCAAGAACTGTTGCCAACTCGAAATATCGCGACGATCATAGTACAGTCGCCTGGAGAAGGCCTTCATCTGTTCGAGGAAAGCGCTGGCGCCACCCATAAGCGTTCCATCTGTAGAGGCAGCACTGCCGGTGAAAAATGGGGGCAAGATCTGGCGTTTTGGCTGTTCCACGAACATTGTGGTGATGGCCTGATGGAACTCGAGTTGCGATTCCACGATGTCCAGCTGCTTGGCCGTATATATCAGCTTGCCATTGTCCGTGAGTTCGCTGAGCATCGGCACTAGCCGGCCTTCATCTGCATCCACCAGTTCGATTACTGCACAAGGAAGGGGGTTAGTTTTCCATTCGATCTTAATATTTTGGCAAAAACTTACTGTAGTCAGAGGGGCTATAGTGCCGCGGACAGTCGAGATTGGCTAGATGGAGAAAGGGTATGGTGGCGCGTGGACTTCCCTGATAGACGCACTGGCCCTTGGCAAGCACATAGATACTGTCGAAATAGTTGAAAATTGTCGCCGACGGCTGGTGTATGGTGCACACAATTGTGCGCCCTTCCTTGGCAAGGGCGCTAAGTAAACGAATACACTGCGCCGCCGTCACCTCATCAAGTCCACTGGTGGGCTCGTCCAGAAAGAATATGTTTGGATTGTCGACCAACTCCAGCGCAATGGAGAGACGCTTTCGCTCACCACCGCTCAGTTTTTCCGCCGTCACATTGCGACGATGGCTTAGATTAAGGTTATCTAGAATTTCCGTTACCAGCTGGGACTTGTTTTGGCGGTCCTTCAGCTTTAGATCACAGGAGAGATTCATTAATTCTTCCACAGTCAGCAGAGTCTGGTGATGATCGTCCTGCGTTATGTAGCAGGCATCTCTTCGATTCATTTTAATGCTACCGTTCACACCGTTTGTCCTGTTAACGATATGGAGAGAATTGACAAATTAGATGTAGATATAACCACAAATATGGTAACACAATTTGCAAAATACGTATTACGTATAGTTTTCTTAAGGCCTATGGTCAAATATACTATACATTTATTAGGTTTGCTATAAATTTCAATCAAAAATAATAATTAAACTTAAATATTTGTTGTCTACATTTTAAAGGTTTGTGAGCAAATATTTGACTGTCCGAACGCAGACGAAATTATTCCAAAATAATGAATATGATGGCAGTAGATGTTTCAAAATTGTTACGAGTTTTGGACCTAACCTTACTTTTTTAAATTTAAATGTTTAATCAATTATAGATATTTTTTGGAATCCTGCAAATGTTGAGCAAAAGGAGGAGAAAACACAGCGTCTTTTCAGAGTGGCATTGCCGATTAAAAAATAAAACTGTCTAATACTTGTAATTGTCATGAAAGACAAGCCTGATCAAAATGTATAATATTTATTCTAAATCCTTTATAAAAGGCCGCATTGCTTCTATTCAAATGTAAGCTTCACTACAAAGGACAAATGATACATCACCGTTCGGTTTTGGAATCAATGCCCTAAAAATAGCAGAGGCGTAACAGATTTATGAGCTAAGCTAAGAACATACAGAATTACAAAAAAAATAATTGCGAAAATAAGTTGCAATCTAAAATAAATTGGGTTTTAAAAATGAAATACAAATTAAGTATGCATTCAATAAATTTAAATAATATTAACGTTTGTTCAGAGACAAACAATTTAGGTAAGAACAGGTCAATGGTAAAATTAAGTCGCGCACTTAACAAAAAATTACAATACATACTTGTAATACATGTAAGAAATCAACTGAATAACAATTTATAAATCTGCGCCTGCGCACATTCAGCCCATAAATCAAGTATTCTAATTAGCCGGCTCGAATTCGAAATACAACAATTACTCCGTATATTGATGTCTCTTGATTACGCAGCATCTCCAAAATATATTCCACATACAATTTTATTCTTTTATCGATGTGGACTTACCTGAAACCCGAAATCGCATTCAGCAAACTGCTCTTGCCGGCCCCCGATGGGCCCATGATGGCGGATAGTTGACCATTTCGGAAGCTACCACTCAGGCCGGTTAGTATATTCCGCTGGCCGGTTACTCGAACTGAAACGAAGAAGCCAAAGATTAGCGATTGGATCACATGTTAGTTTCGGTTCATATTTTAATTGACTTGTTGATTTAAATTTTTAGCTTTGAAATTTATGCATAAACTTTTCCAGAAGATTTAAAACGACTTTTAGCATCTTTAACAGATTCACCAGAGAAACTGGCAGAGCAAATTCGGGCTTCATGTTCGAGTCATTAGGTTCATCAACTTTAGTTATTGTTATCGTTGCTGTTATAGCCAGATGATTGCGGTTGTATACTCGTATATGGATGTACTTAGACATATATGCATAGGTGTGTAGTATATATACATATATACTATAAACCGCTATAAAACAAAAACAATTGTTAAACTTTTATGTCTGTCACTTATAACAGAATTTTAGCGGGCCGCCCGCATGTGTAAACATTAAAAGGTCGTTAAGTTGATATTAATATTTAAAGCATAACATCGTTAAACCTCATAAGTACTCGCATATAGTATGTCTATACGTCCAATAGGTCAACACGAGCTGTTTATTTATTTATTTTGATAGAATTACTCATTTGATTCTGTTGTTGCGATGTAAAAAAAACTTTTCGAAGACTAAATAGTATACAGAATAGAATAAACTAGATTAAACAAAAATAAAAACAGTTTGTTTTGCGTCATAAGCTTTCAAAATGTGACTGGATTTAAAGAGCCGATGACATAACAAGTTCACAATTTTTCAAGTCTTACAGGTTTGCAAAAGTTCTAAGCAAGAGATTTCAAACTTACAATAAAAAGTATCTATTTCAGTTTGGTAAAGAAAAGAGATATTTCATTGAATGTTCCTATAATTATAATCTCTTCTCCAGGATCAATAAAATTATAAATTGCACTTTGTAATTTCGTTTTAATTTTGTATGCTAGAAATACGCACTATATTTAACAAAAGTATACAATTATGTGAAATTTACGATTCGATTCGCAATCTGAATCGAGTGTGTTGATACGGGCACACGTGCAGATAGATTTGTGTCAATGTTAAAACAGGGACTCCGATTTAAATGCGAATACCGTATCAGCTGCCTTTAACATTGAAAAATATAAACAAAGAATGCAAAAGCTAACAAGATGCATTAAAAAGTTGATAATTGCAAGTGAAGTCTATCTATACATAGAAGGAAAAATATACAACGCACAGGCAGCTATATGAATTATGTAAGGTTGTTAAATCAGATGTAATGCCGTAATGTAATGTAAAACTAGACGAATACTATATATAAAACATTAGAAAGTAAATTGATAAGAGACTACAAGTATGTCGGGAATCGGGATGGTGATATATAAGCATAACAACGCGAACATATACATAGCTTAATAGCTACGTTCTGACAAGAACGATCTCAGTGTTAGTATTATTTGGTCCAAACTTTTTGCATATTGCGACTTAATAAATGCAGTCGTCCTGCACTCAAAAATAAAACCCAGAAAACCTTAAGTTTGAGCTAGCGTTCCATAAAGTTTTTCAACAGCTAAGGAGAAATTACTCCTGATAAGGCTTTAAACTTCTTAAAAACTCAGTTGAATATGAATAATAAGTATAAAACCAAGTAAAATTTTAACAGAAAAAAAAACCGACTTGAGATCTAGTGCAGTGAGGGCTTTTTGTTTTTGTCATTTAAAGTGACTTAAAGTTTCGAAAATGATTTTGAAGTTACAGCGTCCTGTTCAGGAATAGAGGTATGTTTAAGGTAGTTTTCGGGAAGCACCAGCTTTCTAATAAAAAAAGAATCATAAGCATTGTCGAATTTGCTGAGGTAACCTCCTCCTTTTTTCCTTTAAAAGCAATTCATTGCACGAATTTGTTTTAAGTGTAAAATCAATACGTTCTTCTTACATGTTTTTATTTTTACATTGGTAAGAAATTTTTTTTTTATTTATTTATTTATTTATAAAAGAGAAGAAATTTTTCGTACATTTTTATTCAGAAATATTCGAAGCTCATTGCATGTGCTTCTAAATTCAATATCAATGCCAAGGTCTGCATGTAGACACTAGACATGTGTCTGTGACCTGCATCCGGATTGATAAACGTAGGCACTGACATTTCATATACATCTAATCTAAAAGGACGGCAAAGTTCAATGTTGAGGCTTGCCTTGGTGATAGCGCTGAATAGTGGAAATATTTAGCAATCGCACCAGGCCGCGTTAACCTAGAACTTTGTGTACCATGCAAAATTTATGTTTGTTTCTTATTAGGGATCAGATATGGTTAAAATTAAAAATCATTGACCAGGGGAACGAAATCCGGCCGCCCTTTGTAGTTCGATTCGAGGATGAATAAACATATTAATTTATTATAGAAGTAGTAAGTAAATCATCTAATTCTGCTGTTGAGTGAGTCATTTTTATAAGTTTCAATTTCAAAGCAGCTTAATTCTATTAGTAGTGTGTCTGCAAGCTTTGAAAACAGCTGGCAATTGAACGAATTAGGTTTCGTATTAACAAGAACATGCTTATGTACAAAAACTTGACCCAGTTTTAAAGCCCTCAATCATTCCTCCCCCTCAAGAATTGTAATTCCGTACGCAAATGCGAAGCAATTGACACGACAATATGCAAATCAAAGAAGGTCATCATCACACTACATATAGTTGAGTAACAAATCCTATTTGCAGTTCCTAGCCCGGTGGCCAAGTTTACATATCAATTAGCCTGCTCGATGTCGTTGCTGTGAATGGGAAGTCAGCGTGTTAGCGCTTAACTCATATTTGTGTTTGCCAAACACAAACTGATGGCCCCAAGCGGGCCACATTCCAAGATTCATTCTGGTGCCTATTCTGATTTCGATGTATTGGATCTATAGCCAATAATTGCAACATTGAAATCGGCCTGACACGCCTCGTTTTCTTGCTGGGTGGCGCCTTCATCGCCATCAAATGGAGTGCAAACACAAGTTGTCCAGCATTCTGTCCATGTGAGCCACATAGTAAGCAAACTCCAAACGTGACAAAGATCCGAAATTAATTGAACGCTTTGTGCAAATGTTTTCTGGTTAACGAAGAGGTGCTGAGGGTTACGGATAGAGGTACGGGCACAAAACCTCACACGTTGACGTGAAACGTGCCAGCGGTCTGACGATTTGTCCCGCATTAGTTTGTTTCGATTTAACTTTAAAATAATAATAATAAAGTAGACACAAGTGTTGCGTGTACTGAATAAATTGGAAGCGATGCCGACTCCTAGGTTCGAGATATAATTGGATTAGATCACAAGGTCCGGCATCTGGCAAACGTGGGATTTATTCATCATCATTTTCATTTTTTACAACAATAAAAAATTACATATCTAGCTGTAATAATTATTCTTCTAATTTATGTAATTTCTTAACGTCTTTTAATTAGCGAAAATGTAAAATTTCATCGATTGATATTCAATGAGATTTTAAGAAATTCATCGTAATTGATTAAGTGGCTTTCATCATGAAATGATTTGTAGGTATCTTTACATTTAACAATTAAATATGATAAATCAGATAAATCAATTTAAAAACTAACAAACAAACAACGTAAATAACGTAATTGGCAAAACATCGGGTATCCGAGACGTATAATTTATGGAGTAGCCTCCGACCTGGGAATTGATTTCTCAAAGCGACAAAAGTCATAAAAGCCATGAATAGGCAACAGCAAACAGAAACAAAGACAAAGTAAGCAACGATCCCATAAATTCCATAAATTGTTACTGCTCTTGATAAGAGGTAATATTTAAATTATGGGGTTATGGACAACACAAAAATTCAACAAATTAATGCGCAAATGTATTGCAAATACACAAAAATTGAAATTGAAGAATCCATTTTTTTTATCACATCACAGCAATTTAAGCGAAGAATTCTTAAAATCGTTGTATGGAGTGGTTTATTGGATCTTGGGGGATCTGTTTGATACCGGCTCTAAATGGACAATCAGAGTGCACAAACAATATTCTAGAATAGATCGTATAAATGATCTGTAGGCATTCAACTCTCTAGAAATATGCGATATAAATTAATTAAAATTTAAATTACAATATGACTAAATGATCATCTAAGACCTAAATGGATGGGTAAGCATCAACCCAGTCAGTTAACATCATCGTCATACCAAACAGATATCCGATAGTGATAGAAAAGAAGACCAGAACCTTGCGGGATTTTGGATGGCCCTAGAAAAATTAGAAGTAATCCAGCTAATCAAGAAATAAATACAATTTTTAATATCTGTTGAACAGAGCAATAAGCGAATGAATTGAGATGCTTGCATAAATCTTTTCATACAGCACCTACTTAAAAGCTTTTTATGATCGAGCTAATCTGGTCGTTTACACTTCATATTTCTGAGATTACATTGTTTCGTTAATTAATGAATGAGATGAAAAATACAGAAAATGCTCCTTTTTATAGCAGTGTGTTATATTAATTGAAGCCTGCACGTCTGCTATTACCGCCAAGCCATTTATTCCGGTACGCGCCCCTAGAGGGATTGCGTGCACCTTTGTATTCTCAGTTCGATCTGCCAACGGTCATTGCTTTCTACAAGTATAATACTTATACTTATGTAAATATATATATGCATTTTTTTTTTTTGGTAGATGTGATGCAACAAGCGTTGACGAATAGTTACTATATTACAACATGCAATTTCCCAAATGAGCACAAATTTATAGGCGCGATGTGTTTTTAGACATGCGAGAACATCACGGGCTCGTGTATTTGACACGTTAGGTCTCTGGCTGAACAGTTGAAGCAAAAAACTTCATTCATATTTACTATTCAATCAATAATTATAACTTAGGCAAATACAAGTACATCATTCTAAGCCGATTTGAAAATGGGAAATAATTATACACTCTACATAGGAACAGGTTTCGAAAATGTAGAGATTATAAGTAAAGTTCAAAATACTATGATACACTCGTAGTTTGCCCGAAACTTTTTAGCCTCCTAATACCGAACCGGAACTTTTAATTAAATGTTTTCTAAGATT